TAGCTTAACTAGACAAAGGCCGAAGCACCATAGTCACGCAATACAGCACAACGTACCAAATTGTAACTAGTCAGATAGAACGGCCTTTGGCCAAAGTCTTACATAGCCAACGGCTGATACAGGACTATAATGGAATAATAATAATCCGGTTCTGCGAATACGCTTACCGCGGGGACTATACGGTACCTCCGTGGGAAGAAGTGCTACTAGGACCGCGCTGTACACCTGAGAAGAACGAGCAGAACGACGACAATGGAGTGGCTCCTGCCTGGGATGAATCCCTGCTGCACAAGAACCTCCTTCCATGGAGTGTTACTCCGAAGAAACTCCGGCATGCGACGAACCTGCCGCCCAGCCAGTATTTGAGTCTCGATACGTAGAGAGGAATATCTCAAGAACCCCATTACGCACTCAATTTAATAGCCGAAACTACCTAAACAATGGCGGCCCCAAAGATCTCATCCTGCAGCACTTCGAACCCAAATCCAACAGTACCGCAGACCAAAACTTCACGCCAGTCCTCCTTGCTCACGCACGGCTCTACTGCTTTGCGCATCTACGTCTAATGATGCCACTCAAAGCGCTAACCTCTACAGAATACATAAGACACTGATGAACTCCAAATTGTACACAAAGCGCGTTGGAGATATCATTGAGCTCGCAAGATATGCGTACTCGAACCCGGATCTGCCAGACAGAAGCGACGACGGAACTATCGATGAACTGAGGAAGCTCGTGGTTGAGTATATTATGTGCGAGATTGACATGATCGGAAAATGCGATGAATTCGTCAAGTATATGGAAGAAGGCGGTGAGTTTGTAGGAGATTTTTGGAGAATGATAAAGGACTATGTGGCTTGATGTATGTGTACAGTGATGTAATTTTAGAAAGTAGAGGTCTTAGATATTCGAGTAAAGCTATAGCTTATGACTTATACACACACACACACACACACACACAATTTATTTACGCCCGGCGACCGAGCCGAAAGGGCTGCTAACGCTAGTCTAGCTTTACACTTCCTATGCTACGTCTTGGTCTCCTTAGCTCATATGTCTTCTTTGGCCCACTTCTTTATATAATTAGCTTATTATCTAAATCAGAGCCCTTACTTAATACCTTGGCACGCCTCTTCTCTATCTACTAATGTTCCTCATCAGGTGCTCGTGGGTTAGTATTGCTGGTGGCAGACTGGCTCAGAGTCGGCATCTTTAAGAGATTCTCCAAGTGTTCAACGTCCTATCTTCGGCGGCTGAAGCGCTGTCTGCTGTTGATTGCACGAGACTGCTGATAAGCTTATGTTAGTGTCTATAGTTTACCTAGTAGTTAGTTAGATATTAGTTTGCATCTAATCTTCGTGTTGCTATTGCGAATCGTATCGTCGCTCGCACCGCGTCCATGTCTGGCGCCCATTTTGCGTCGTCTGTCGCTGCTTTACCGCCTAAGTAGAATGACATATTTCCTCTGCTTATCTGCGTGCACTGCAGCATTTCTATTCGCTGTGTTGTCCACTTTCGGCAGCGGAACAGAAAATGCTCCACCGTNTCTGCTGCCTGGCCGCATTCGCATTGGTCTGTTGTTGATGCTTTGATTCGGTATCGATACGTGTTCAGCTGTGCCATGCCTGTTCTGAGCTGGGCAAGCACGCTGCTCTCTTTCCGCGAAAGCCCGTCGTAGAGTTGTCGCGTGTGCTTTCCTGGCAGTGCCGTGTCGATTCGTTTGGAATATGCTCCCACGTCTACTGGTATCTTCTTAGCTATGCCTTGCTTACGTGCTATGTTGTGCGTAGTGGATCGCATTCTAGGGAGCTGTGTCTGTGGCCTAGTGTTTGGNCTAGTTGCTGTCTTCGCCTCTCGCTTAGCGAGGCTTGCGAGCTCATTCTCTTCGCTTGCAGGTAGCCATAGCACTGTTACTGTGTTACCGTCTCTTCTTAGTGTTTGTACAGTCTTGTAGAACTGGCTGATGTAGCCTTGCCCGGACTGCTGCCGCGGTCTTCTAAGTGTGAGCACAGCAGCTTTGTTTCTTGTTATCAGTGCAATGCTGCGAAACCTTAGCTTCGGCAGCCTGCTCAGCGCCTCGGCCATTGCTGCTAGTTCTGACTTATATGTACAGTATCATGCTGAAAACCGACGTGGTTGTGATCGACTTAAATGAAACTGGTCTTCATATCTCTTAGCACAGCAGGCTTCTTCGTATATAGGGAGAGACGTTATGTAATTTGGTGTTGATTAAACTACGAGCCATTCCATACGCTAACACACGCCGACCACTCTTAAATGGAGCTTTTTGAAGCTGGTATCACAAGATCTTTAATCCGAGATGATGACTGGGTGTACAACTCTTACTGCCTGTATCTGCGCTGATGTATCTCGTCTTGATCTCGATCTTACTTACGAAAGTTAATCTGGCTTAGTCCAAGGCCCATAGTTGCAAGACTTTAATCCAGACATCCAATGCATCCGGATGATTGTAGAAAGTATGAGCTCCGTACGCCTGCTCCATCTGCTCTACCAAAGGCTCTCTGGGAGGCTCGTACGCTGAGCAACGTACGCGAGTTTAAGGCTTGATCAACGTTGACACATGATCGCCTACGACCGCACAAGAGCTCATCACCTGCCTCGATTATTGAGGCGGTTAACCAGCTCAAGAAGGGGGCAGAAATGATGATGCTCTCAGCTGAACTAATGCGCGATCGGATTACTAGCCTTGAGAGAGCCAACGAAGCAGCTTCAACGCATAGGTAGCGCATAACGACAAATTGAGACGCCCTGTGATCATTCGGTCTTCAAGTAGGACAGCTTATAAGCCATTCCCTCAGCCCATGTGCGTCCTGATCAAGTATCTCTTGCATCTCCAGCTCGCTAAGGTCTGACTCTTCCCTGCATATCCACCGCGATCGAAAGTTTGGACAGAATCTGTCGTTGATTCTCATGGACCATGACTTTCTCCACCTTCGCTGGTACTTGCGGTTCGTGAGGATTCCAAAAGGATCTGTCTGGGGACAAAGTTGTCGAACATCCTTAGCATATACTTTCTTGAAGTACGATAGAATGCTCTGTCTCCCACGTAATGTGGCTAGGTGAAAGATGGCGTCCTCAAACTCATCAATATGAAGTGGAAACAATGTGCGAAGATGCGCGTCCGTCTTATCTAAATTCTTCTGGACGGCATATCCAACAGCTTGGCCAAGTAAAAAGAGGAAAATTTGTTTGATGTGTAACTCAGAAGGCGACATACCTAGGCACACGAGTGCACTAGCTATCTTCTTAGCGGAAAATCGGGGGTAGTCGTCCTTCAGTTTCGTTCGCAAATCTTGGAGTCGCATTGTGACTTCTAAGTCGGCGATACACGGGAACACGTCAAATAATCCGCTACGGCAAAAATGTTCCCGATCCCACCGGTGGAGAATAGCCTTCGATGGAACTTGGCCCCAGATTATCACTTCGGTATTGTAAATCGACTTAGGCTCTAAGCCGCACCTAGTCCTTAGATCGTTGCACGCCATAAAACTTCCTGGTTCCAGTCTCCAAGGACAAATAAGCAGAATAGTTACTTTCGTACGTTCTTTATAGGTGCAAAATGTAATATGTAAGGCTCGAACAAGATCGATTGTTGCCGAGATGAACGGAGTAGGTACATGGTTAGATAGAACTGCATGCATATTAACGTATCCACGCATCTGCTGTATAGTCAGGGTTTGGAACGATGGCGGCGGATGCAACTTCGATTGGATATCATCACTTTCAGCATTCCAGGAATCCGCGTGGACAACTCTGTAGTAGATAGGTCTTTCAAACGAGTTCGCCGGGTGAGACTGGTAAGCTTGGAAGACATCCTGTACCTTGATAGTTGTCTCAGCTAACGCGAAAAAATGACAAAGCATGGGAATTCCTTACGAGCTCCGTATGTTGGAACGACTCAGAAATATCATTGTAGCTGTACTCGGACTGATTCCCTATGTGCAGCCCTGCAAAAGCATCCTCTAGCGTCGAATCACTCATACTGCTGCAAATTGTCGAGATGCTGTGTCGTTAATTAGTTATGTTAAACGGAGCTTTGATATGTTTAGGTAGTGATCCAAATCATGACGTGAAGGCGGGGCTGTTATGAAAATTGAATGCGGGGTATGTAGATCGCGCGTGTGGTGAGCGGGCCCCTACTTAGGCAGGAACATCTTCTACTAACTAGTGAACGTGCAGGATCAGTCATCCGGCCACCGCACCAAACTTGACGCGACGCTCCACACCCCAACAGCCATGACACGATAACGACGCTCTCTATCACCTCAAAGGCAAGGTAGACTTTGTCTTGCATCCCAATCAATTCAAAAACATCAAATTAAGAACCAACGTAAAGCTGTTAGGCTATTCAATGTCCCTTCTTCAACACTTTACGGCCGCCTTCAAGGTAGCCAGCCTCGAGCTCTTGCTAACGCTAAGAAGAGAAAGCTATTACTTACTGAGGAGCAGTCTCTCGTAAAGTGGATCCTGAACCTTGATCAACGAGGTTTTCCGCCCTATATTATTGATATACGACGGGTGGCAGACGCTCTGCTCGCCGCACGTGGTCAAGATCCAGCTCCACAACCTGTTGGCAAGAAATGGGTGTCGCGCTTTATCCAGAACCAGCCAGAGCTTCAGACGAAGTGGACTAAAAGGCTTAGTAGCCAGCGCGCCCGGTATGAAGATCCTACTATAATCGCAGCGTGGTTTAAGCTAGTAGAGGAGACGCGCCAGACGTACGGCGTCTTAGACCAAGATATCTACAACTTTAACGAGACTAGATTCGCGATGGGTGTCGCTGCAACGTCAAAAGTCGTGACTAGC